CGGTCGCACCGGCAGCGGTCGCACGGGGGCCGACGGGCAGGTGAGCGGCACCTGGGAGCCACTGGGATGGGCTTGGAGTGGCACCTGGGGTCAACTGGGAGCAACTGGGAACAACTGGGAAGGGCTAGGAGCAGCACCTGGGGTCAACTGGGAGCAACTGGGAACAACTGGGAAGGGCTAGGAGCAGCACCTGGGGTCAACTGGGAGCAACTGGGAGCAACTGGGAAGAGCTGGGAGGGCACCTGGGGTGAACTGGGGTCAACTGGGAAGGGCTAGGAGCGGCACCTGGGGTGAAGTGGGGTCCAGTGGGAGCAACTGGGAAGGGCTAGGAGCGGCACCTGGGGTGAACTGGGATCCACTGGGAGCAACTGGAGCTGCAGCAAGAGGAGTCGCAGGAGAAACATGGAAAACTGGGCAGGGAGGGGAGCGGCACCTGGGGAAACTGGGATCAACTGAGTAAGGCTGAGCGCTGTACCCCAGGGGAACTGGGATGAACTGGGCAGGGATGGGAGCTGCACCCCAAGGGGGAACTGGGATGAACTGGGAAAGGTTGAGTGCTGCACCCTGGGTGAACTGGGGAGCCCCAGGCAGGGCTGGGAGCTGCAACCTGCTGTGAACTGGGAGAACTGGGCAGAGCCAGGAGCTGCACTGAGGGGAACTGAGATGAACTGGGCAGGGCTGGGAGCTGCACCAAGAGGTGAACTGGGAGAACTGGGCAGAGCTGGGAGCTGCACCTGAGGGGAACTGGGAGAAACGGTCAGAGCTGGGAGCTACAACCTGCTGCGAACTGGGAGAACTGAGAGAACTGGGCAGGGATAGGAGCTGCACCCTGGGGTAAACTGGGAAAACTGGGCAGGGCTGCGAGCTGCACCGGAGGGGAACTGGGAGAAACAGTCAGAGCCGGCAGCTACAACCTGCTGTGAACTGGGAGAACTGGGCAGAGCTGGGAGCTGCACCGAGAGGGGAACTGGGATGAACTGGGCAGAGCCGGTGCTCCTGGCCCCAGGGGCCCCCCGCGGCTCCCACCGGGCCAGGGACAGGCGGCGGGACCCCCAACTGGTTTTACTGGTTTAACTGGCCGGGGTGCCCGGGGGGTCCAGTTGGGGAGAGGCTGGGCCGGGACCCCGGGGCTCCCCCCTGGGGACCCCCCAGACCCCGGGGACCCCCC